ACAGGGACACCTCTGTGAAATGACTCAATAGAAATGAGAAGAGGGTTCGTGCACACACTTCGGCAATGGTTTTCAACAGCCATTATACGTATTCATCAATGCAGATCGATTATTTTGATGTTGGCAACCAACCAGGCAACCACTAATACCTGGAGGGCCGTACCTAAACTCTATGAGTTGAGGTCGAGATTACAGCCAAGTCGATAGATGCAAAACAAAATTAGCTTGTTCATTGTTCGTGCGACCCGCCAATGATCTTGTTATTATCTCGGTGCAAAATACCTTTTAATTGGAAACACATTTTAACTGCTGATCGGCACGAGAAGTGCGTAGCTAGCTGCGAACAGCTGCGGAACATTCCTACCGCGGCAATCAACACATCTGTGACAAGGTCGCCAGCTGCCACAGTTTGTTCTCGCCTCTGTTGAGGAGCACAATGGAACTGGGCCGCCCTTTAGGTAAGGCCGCGATCCACCTGGGTTGCGGCACGCGAGAAGGCACCGACGGCGAGGCCGCGTGCCACCGGCGCCAGTTTTGCAACGGACGGCTGCTCTCAGGACAGGGCTGGGCGGGGAGAGCACAGGTGCTCTGCGGCTGCGAGAAGGGTCAATTAGATCCTCGATACCGCTGCAGGTCTTCCAAATCGTCTGCAAATGAGGACCAGTTACCTCATTGCGCTGCAGGTAGGCATAACCGAGTGTATGTGTGGATTCTGTTTGATTTCTTATTTTGCTTGCATGCGATACGAGCATTTGCTTTGAGTTTTCCAGCGGTGTTTCGGGCTGCGTCCTCGAGCGATATCTTTCTCCTTATGGACCAGCGAAATGAGAACTGAAAAAACAACATCCATCCATCAACCCTGTCGCATCGTTTGGTTTCCGGCTAATTTCAGTCCCATTGCTCCATCCTTCCGGCCTTGTTCTGACAGTGCAGCGCGGCAGTTATAGTCCTGTGTCGCCGGCGGCAGGGTCAGGCCGGTCTCCATCCGACCCTGGCAGCCCCGCGACGGCCACTGCAGGCCTCGGTCAGCACACCGCCCCCGGCGCGAACGAGGCGCATCGCCGCGCCGCCAGGAACGCACTTTCACTGTCGGGGTCGGCGGCAGGCAAATGATATACCCACCGAGTATATAGATAACCGGCCTGTGCCGATGGCCGGGACAGGCGGCGAGCGCTGCACATAGGCGCGGGAGCCGGGGGGGCAGTGGGGGCAGCTTGCCCCCCCAACTCTGGGGCCGTGGGGGCGGTGCCCCCACAGCTTTGAGACGGAATACCACACTTTTTTTGCAAATGTTTTCTTTTTTTGTTGAAAAAGCCGAGGGGTGAAAAATAAGTGGCCTAAAACCGGTGAGAAAACTAGATTTGGGGGTACCCTAGGTTAATCTCTATTATGGTGTGCCCCCACAGTCGGAAAGTAGTTCCCGCGCCCCTGGCGCTGCATCAATGTCGAACGCAGCCAAGGGCGGCATTGACACGTGTGAAAGATTCTCATCGAATTAAGAAAATTAATGGCTGTGACAGCCAGGAAACAAAGAGTTCGTAATGGAATAACAGCCACATAGTCGTACCTCATGCATAAAACAACCCAAGGATACCCAATGATAATTTATTTTGTCTACCAAAGCGAAACATGGATCAAGTGAATTTGAAAACAACGAAGGGTTTTCTACAAATCTTCCGATGAGAAACAATCAAACCCTTGTTGAGGCGGTGATTCAAGCCGACCTTACACCTGCGAAGCACACCTGTGTGCCTTGCGTCGCCGTCGTTCGACCACGCCTCAGCGCCGGTCGCCAGCCTGTTCCGCTCGTCAGCTCACATGTGCGCCCAAGGCGGGCGCAGGTCGGCAGTGGCTGGCCATAGGGCCTTGGGCTGGCCGGTGAGGCAGCAGTTCAGCAGGCGGTACGGCCCAGCGGCCGCGGCCCAGTCATCTGCGGGGAGGCCGGCGAAAACCAGCTCGAGCCAGACACGGCCGGAGCTCGGCCGAGGCCAGTGTTTATGACGAGCGCGATCGGCGGCGCCGGCGCAACTGGCGACGAATGGCGGAGGCGGCGGAGCCTTCACATCTCGCACGAAGGCCACCCAGGCACTCATATTGGCTGGTGTTAATCATGCAAACAACAGAGATCGTCGTGATGTTCGATCGTTTCGCCATTACGAAACGTTTTCAATGATTTGATGGTTGGTATGACCCAAATGCAGCTGCAACATATGACTGGACACCGGCAGTGGCGGCGGATTCGATTTTGGCGTGGGGGGGGGGGGGCAAGATCCCAGTCGAGATGATGTCATAGGCGGATCCAGAAAGACGTTTCCGACACTGTAGGGGACATACCCCCCGAAAAAGTGTCCCAAATCCAAAAACTCCTTGGATTCCGATTCCTTACGGATCTACTGCTGAACAGTATAAAGCAAAAAAATAAAAAATCCTGATAAAAGTGTTATTATTAGGAAACATAACGTACGCTTTGTCTATTTCGGGCGATGCAGGGGCCAGGGGAGGGAGAGTAAATATTTGCTTTAAATGCCCGCTCCCTGGATCCGCCAGTGGACGATGTAACGCTTTTCGTATTGCTGTATTAGAAAAAAAGTTTCAATGGGAAAAGTTGTGCCATAACCCGATCCCATATTAGATGTTGAAGAACGGTTTCAAACCTTTTGAAGTAGGCGAGCGCTTTCCTTCAACATGAGGTAACTCGTTAGCATTTCCTCTGTTCATTTTACGTTCGATTTCCGTTTAACCTTCCTTTAAAAAGTATTTCTGAGACAGATATCAACTAGCTCACAGCGGGAGGAGACCGCTCAAACATTCAGAGACAGTCGGTCGCATCTAAACCTATTGGGACAGCGATCCGCCAGAAACCCTCCCCAAGGCAGTAGCTCGCCAACTAAGCCCACCGAGACGGGCTGTCTCGATGGGTTTATACAGTTAGCCTACAGCAAGGCTTAACTAAGGCCCAAATGCTCGTCAAGCTGGGAACGGAGGGCTGAGGTGAGGGAGCGTGGCGGTGGGCTGGGGTGAAGGAACGATGGACTGAAACGAGAATCCAGAAGCTCTGGGTAGGGCGTTTCTTTTAGGGTGCGCTGACTGCGGTAAGGTCCAAATTATCACACCAAATTTTGCCACGACATCTACCGATTCAGGCACTCGAGAATCAGCGGCCAGTGATATCTGCAAGAGCATTTCCAACCCAGATTCAGCCTGGTGTCAGGGTGCCTCAGGTGGCTTTAATTAAAGTTGCACATACCTCAGTGCAGCCAGTCTGTCGCCGAAACCATTCGGAACAGACTTCAACAAAAAGTGAGACAAGGTTAGTGCTATCGTTATAAAAGTGCCATTATAGCCTTGGGCCCCGTTGGCTTGACCCACCGGAAGGTGGTAGTTATCGGACGCTGCGGGGCATACTCATTTTTCCAAAATGCCTCAGATTTCGCTTTCGTGTTCATAGGCGGCGGAACGGGGAGGGCACCGGGGCACCGTGCCCCCCTTTGATTTTGGCATTTTAACGTTAGCGCTATGGGCGTTGCATGGAAAGAATGGAACCAAAAGTCGGCAGGCCCTTAATTGAAGGTGTTCCGCCGCTACTGTTCGTGTTTGATGCTCTTTATTCTATAGTCAGCCTTTAGACAGAGGGGGGCCCACTAATGATCAGTGCCCTAACCCTCAAAAGTTTCCAACACTAATTTTTACTTTTTTATAGTGAAAATTGAAATAAAGCGGATACTGAACTGTGAACATCCAGTTTTTACACTGGCCCCACACAAGCCTCCGAATGCCCAAAGCAGATCTCTGATGACTGGCCTTTGGGTGTCATACCATACCGTGCATTGGTCAATGTCGTCAATGTGTACGACCTCGGCGTTTACCATTTTATGCGCTGGAAACTGTTGCGCTCGAAGAAATCAGGGGAGTGGCTTATTATGAGCGCTCATCAGTCCTAACTACCCGCAAGCGAATGGCTAGCCATTCCGTCTCCGCTCGCTTGCGATTTGGCATTTATGTAGGTACAAAATAGAGGCAAACGACCACTGAAGGTATGAGTTGCGTCTCTTGCACACATCTATAAATCGAATCTGAAAAGACAAAAACAAAATGATATAAAGCGGAAATGGTTAGCATTTACACATATTCAAAAGGCACCGTTGGACATGCTGTAGGAGCGCATAGCTGCAATATCAGGTTATGGAAATTTTCCTCATGTTTAGGGCACAATATGGAGGGGCAAGAATATACGTTTGCCCCTCCTCCAAAAGTTTCTTAGGGAACGATGCCTCCTCTGCCACCCCGTATCCGTCGCTCCTGAAGCGGTCACTGAAGGCCTGGGTTTCCGCTGCGTCACGTTGACGCTTATAAAGCCTCCAAAACTAGGTTGAAGATAGGAAAACTTCAATTGAACGTGAACGCTTGCCATTTAACCCGCGCGGGGCTGGGGGGGGTAACTTTTACCCCCCTCGCGAATTTTTGCGATATCTCAAAAACGGCGGCGCGCAGCGCCGCCAAACTTTCAGTACCTTTTCTTACATCAATTTGACACCTTCCCTGAAAATTTGAGCGAAATCCGTCGGAAAATTTTTGAGAAATTGACGTTTTAGTGACGTCATGTTCGCCATTTTCGCCTCAAAAACGGCAAAAGTTCAAACGCCGCTAACATCTTCATTTTTAAAGGAATCAAGACGTAACAAAAAAGGTTATACGTAATTTTACTTTGTCTATCAAATGGCTATCTCGGTTTTTTGAAAATTTTGGATTTTGGCCTAAATTTTTTTTTCAAAAAACTGATTTTTTTGGGAAAATCATTGTAATTTGAAAGTTGTCCCTTTGTATATGCTGCTATGCTGCATTGCTGTCTTATCGCTAGATATGTCTAGGGGATTGTGTCCTTCACTATATTAATCTATGTGTTGTCTAGGGATATTAACTACTGCACTGAAAACAAGATCGATGTATGTGTGTGTTTCCTCTTCTTCTAACACTATCCATTCCACCAGCACACAGACATGAACAAAAAGTAGATATATTGAAATGAGCCGAAAGATGAGGTCGAAACCAAAATGTCAAAAGGAAGCGATCGAGTCATTAAACGAGACAAGGCCGAAAATCAGTCCTGCACGAATAGCCGTTGCATTAGCACAGGCTGATATCGAAGAAGACGGAAGAGTGTCGAAAGAAGACCGAAAATCAGTCCCACTCGAGTTGCTATCGCACTCGAGTATGCCGATATTGTAGAGGCCGGAAGAGTGCCGAAAGAACAGCCTGCTGCCGCCAAGCCGAGCCAATCGGCTCCCTGGTCAGCGTCATGATGGCGGGCAGGCTGAAACACAAACAGCGCAGTGAGACCGGACAACGGCGGTCAACGGTCACCAAAAAAAAGGGCGAAAGAGATAACCGAATGGGTAGCCGAAAGACAAAACAAACAGTTCAACCATATACCGAATAGTTCGGCAAGTTAAACGGACTTCCTAGAAGACGTCACGTCACCTTGTCCCCACAGCACAGCTCCAAGAGAGCTGGCTGGGGCAGACCGTCCGGTCTGAGTCATTCTTACGTAGGTACTTACTTGTGCATGTTGAGTGGAGTGTTGGAGAGTGGATGTTGTTGAGTGTGGTGTGGACTGTGTGAGTGTCGCTGCTGCGTCTGGCGCCCGTTTTATACCTCTCCGACAGTCGTTTGCCCTTGGTGTGTCGTCAACCCATTTTTCACGATCTAACCCTCGCCGAGTGTTTTTTTGGTGTGGGCGAACGGTGGAGGTCAGCGAGATAGGAGCCGAGCGAGCCGCCGCCGGTTGGGCGGCCTTGGCCTCCGGGCCGACTGACGGGGCGCTTCCCGTCGCTGGAAATAATGAGTGTCGCCGATTAGCCGCTCAGAGCAGATGGAAACGATATTTCTCACATCCCTCCCATTTTTATGGCGAACGAAGAACTGTAACCTTAGGGGGTGAACGGGTATACGTACGTAATAATAGACTTACAGTCTGACTGGGTCAAACCGAGTTTGACTTGTAGACAATGGCAAATGCGGCGTCTTTAACTGTTTTAACTGTTTTGTGCCTTTCGACAAATATGACAATAGTGCAAAATACATAATCACTTAATAGCTTGATAGATAAGATCACACGACTTTAGCTTCAGCTTTAGCATTGCACCGTGGTAGTGCTGCTGGATACAAAATCTTGGAGAAAGGCAATCACTGCACCTTTACATTTATATTATTCTGGGAACCACATCTCCTTGCTACTGACCTGTGGACTGTTTCTGGGATGGGAATTTCGTGGTTTACCGGAAACGATTTACAAAGGAGCATGTCGTCATTCGTGCAATGTAAAGGGTACGCTTGTTAACGATTCCCAATACGGGCTTCGACTTTAAAAACTCACGAGTGATAACGTGATGGGTCCATCCGTCTGCTTTATGGCCGCCACACCTGGAGGAGATAAGTTACAACCGACGGGCAAGTGATCGTTTGCCTCCGTTAGAACAGAAGGATGCGTTTCCGACTTCTGGCAGCACTCAGCATCGAGATGTTGGTCCTAAGGGCTCGGGTGAGGTGTTGAGGCTGAAGTCAATCTGACATGCCGAGAGATTGGTGGTGCTTGTAGACCTTTTGGTATCTCAGATACCTGTGTAGGACGCACTCTGCTGCTGGCTCCAATGACCTGAGGACATTGGGAGGGACCAGACGATGCGAGCATCGCAGCACACGAGCAGTTTGTCCTATTGTCTATGCCGGTTCTATGCCCGCGCATCTTTTGGTCTGCACAGATCCATGTCGCTGGATCTAGTTTCAAGGCAATGCACAAGATTGTTGCTTCACCACAACTTATACCTCGAGCACCAACTGACCCTTATCACGACCTTCATGCATACGCTGAAGCAGATTGTAGCAAACTCGTCTGCTTGACTTTAACAAGTGAGCACATGCCCGTTGGCTTTGATCTTTTGATCTCAAGGGTTGTTCTTACTTTTGTTCGTGACCCGACATCACCGTCGCTGGTCACTCACGAGACGGTGGCGCTCCATGCAGGGTTGGATAAATCCATCAGGACCTCCACTCGGCAGCGCGGTGTCTGTTGCAGACAATACAACGAAAGTCAACCACAGTAACTGGTACACCTTCCATTCAATATGACGTTGACCCTTCGTTCAGCTTTGGGATTGCCAAATGATTCACATGAGTGCTGAACGAGTTCACATAGGATTGCAGGTTCTAACTACATAGGCTTTCGGGTTCATATTTAAATCGTTCCACAGGAAAAGGTGTGGTCAGTTTGCACAGTTGATGCTACTCCAGAATCTTGCTATAAAACATTAACGTAAGTGTTACTCGAAAGTCGAGACAACGAAATCAATCCAATATTTCGTAAATTTTGCATTGTCCCTTACCGTTGCGGTTCTGCTCGGTTTAGCTTTACCGGCAAGACCTTCCCTCGGGACGTCTCGTGCCTCGTACCTGCGCTGAAATCGAAACCTTTCGGCTTCAGTCAGCTCACTTGGTAACTGCTGACGGCCGAATTACTATTTTTCTTTGCCTTGTTATCTCAACTGCAAGACCCACGCAGTAATTCACGATGAAGCAGGACATGAAGCATTTATGTCTATCTTCCTACTCTGGAGATGAGCCACGGGATGGACTCCTGAAGAGTTTTGCACTTGCTATGACTTGCAAAGTGCAGCTAAGCAAGGATTCGAGTCGTACTACCTCCTGCCATGGAATGGAGATAAAACGAGACGAAAACCACTTTCCGTCTTAAACACTATCTTTCCCTCTGCAGTCACCTGAAGTCTACTCACATTTCAACTGTTTGTCGGGTTTGCTGTTTTTGCAACATCTGTGCAACGAAGCACAGCAACCAAGTCACCTTTCTTATCGACGCTGCGGTCATCTTCTGAAACAAGTTAACGTCGATCGGTTTCGCTGCTTCTGCAACACCTGTGCAAACGAAGCAAAGCAACCGAGTCATCTTCCTAAGACACCTGTCTTATCGACACTGTGGTCAATTATCCGACACTGGTCAATTCCTGAAGTACCATTCCTAAAGTAATTATGGTGTTGGTCGGGTTTGCTGCTTCTGCAACACCTGTGCAATAAAACAAGCAGCCAATTAATCATCTAACCATCTAACCTTGAATGTGAATCATACCTTTCCGATCGACTGCTGCGACTACCTTCCAAAGTCATTAAGCTGTAAGTCGGGTTGCTGCTCCAGCAACTCCTGAGCAGTGCCAAACAAGTCAACCGAGTCATCCTATCTCGGATATAAAACAACCCACCTTCCTTATCGATGCTGCGGTCACCTCCTGAAGCAAGTAAATTGTTGGTCGGGTCCGCTGCTGGCCTCATCTCTCCTGTAGTCGCCGGAGTGTTCGACTCTTTATACTCCGGTAGCAGTGTATTTGCGGTGGGGTTTGCCGCCTTACACGCTCAAATGGTTCCGTTTTTCACATGCCAGGAACACCTCCTCAGCATGGATTGTCGCCTGTGCCAGTGACCTGCTGCTCCCGTCACTGCACGCCCAGCCCTTATGCCTAGAGCGTAAGCTGACCGAGAATTCCACCCATACCCGGCCGGTGTATGTTCGGTGGGCATGGACCCCCAGAGGACCACCCTCTGCCATGCTACTCACTCTGGTAGATAGGTGGGGCAGGCCCTATCACCAGTTCTCCTCAGCTCCTACGCGTCCGGGCCGCGACTGCCGTCCTGCTCCCCGCGAGCAGACGGTCCGGTGACGTCCTCCTCCAAGAGACGTCTGTAGGCTGCACGTCCTACCTAGCACTCGCCCTTCTCTCAGGGACGTAGGCAGACGGCACGACCTACTCAATAAACGGAAACCACATTTCTGGCCCAGCACATCACCCGCCAAATAACAAATGCGTTTATCATTCTGTCAAATACTTCCCAACTGGACGGGAGTATCACCAATGTTGACTGGGATTATCTTCACAAATCACAACCCTCAACTGACTGATGAGATGACTGTCTGTTTGAACCGAAGCAAAGTTAAAAGTATATTGCCGTCCAATGTTAACCAAAATAATGACTAATTAATACAAAATTTACCTATCAACTAGGGCAAAGGGTCTAACACAGAGAGAATTACTTCACCTGAATTCGACTTACCGGAAACCTGCCACATGCTCTGAAATATTGAAATTCCTGTGTAAGAACTGAATAGATGTAAACGACGTTGTACTCTCACAAATAAATGACATCTCAAACTGTGAAACATTGAACCGATCTTGTACACTGAACCTTGTCAACAACTCAGCCATAATGCAACTCTACCAGTGACCAACCAGTTAAAAACCCAAAAGAATAACTAATCATGTCAGCGAGGCATCAATCCACTCAGTCACAATGACACTTCGGACTGTGTCAGGGCCATGTAAGGTTATGTCAACGGACCTCTGACAACGAACCTCTGAACTCCGGAACCTTGATCATGGGATACTTCCGCGATCTTGAAAGCTGATCGAATGGTATATCCGGTTTGGCGATCAGATGATCGAACTCGCGTTGTTTTTATCTGTGGATAGTTATTGCCCCGAACCAGCTAGCTGACCACTGCGCTGCAATGCACCTGGTCACTGCAGACATCCTATGGCAACTACCCCAGAGTTCAATGACACCAAGTCGGTGTCATCAGAACGTCCAATGACAACGAAGTCAGAGTTAGCTACCTAATGCCAAGTCAGTAACGTCTGAGCGTAAAAATTCATGAAAAAATAAGAACACAAAGCCGATGTTATCAGATCAAACAGATGGACCAGCTCAATAACACCAAGTCGGCATTATATGAGCGCCTTACGGGCAACTTCTTGATAAAGTTCAATTATACCAAGTAAGTATCATCCGAACACATATTCAAGTCAAAGGAATCGAATGGATGTAATCCATAATAGAGCATATCTGGACATTCTTTTATACCATGAGTTAAATAGCCATTTGCTGTCATGCCAACGATGCGAACGAATTGATTTGCGAGGTATACGACCGAGTAGCGTATCGCCAGAAGGCAAAGTAAGTAGACCCACAGAAGTAAGCAAGACTAACCTGAATCAATTGAACTTCAAGAGATGGTGACCTCGACGGTGCGTCCGATGTAGGTTGCCCATGCAGCATGCGGACCAACAATCATGGGTGGAGAACCTGCCCCGGCCACCCCGGCCGTGGCCGGGGTAACTTTCAGCCGACCCCGGCGCGGCCGGGGTATCTTTTTCCACTTTTGTAAATCCTAAATCTGTCTCCATACGAAAAAAACTGCCATATATAAAAGCGTCTCTCATTATTCTTATTTACCTTGAAAAGTTCTTGAAAATTAACTTTATTTTCATTTTGGAGCTTCTATGTTTTTAAGTCTTTTCATCGCGGAGCCCGACATGTTTCATCAAACAGAAGTAAATCATATTTAAGGGCCGTTATCGTAAGATGGCACTGTAATGATATCAAAAGACAGGACGAGGGTAATATCAGTGAGATAGACGGACGAGCTGCTGGGGCTCAAGGCTCCCCCAACTTAACCCGCGCCAGGGTGGTGGCCTTATCGTAACACGTTGAGTCGAGAGGTGGGCTTTCCACGCTCCTTCTAACGCGGCCACTGGGCTACGAGGCGAGAAGCGGAACGACGTTTGAAAGAGCGACAAACGTGATCAGAGAAATCTGGTCATGTTTTAGGCAAGCTCAATAATAAAATCACCATAGATAATCAAAAGTCAAATTTCTCTTATTTTAGCGTTCTCCGACAACTTTTCTCACAGTTCATGAACATAACGGAGCTTAAACACTGCAAACAAAACATTCGATTAGGTACTCGTTTAAGGCTTGGTCGCGAATAATATTTCAGGTGCGAGCTCAAATCAATAAGAGGGTCAAAACGGTCAAATTTGACATTTTGTTTTGTGTGGGAAGGTTGCAACTTCCACGGAATAGGCTTTGCAAAGGGCATGCTGGCATTTTTAGCACGATCATCTAGCAAATTTGACCTGATGACCTGACCTACAGGGTGTTTCACTAAAAGTGTCAAAAAGTAAAAGGCCGTAATGCACATAATAACAATGTTTTCTATGGACATTTGCACATCATTCCATCCGCGATTGTTGGACATTTGAATATATAAAAATGATATCACCGTCACTCAAACCTACTCCACATATCCGCCGCTTCTTTTGATGCACCGTTTCGGCACGTGTCCGGAGGTGCCTCACAGCCCGTTTTCATCTTCAGCATCCAGACTGTCGGCAAAGCCTTGCATTGTGCTCTTCAGCTCCAAAAGTGATGCGACTTAAGTCTTCCTCAGCTCTGCGAGAGCTACTGACCAAAACCAGAAGGCTAGCGGTGACAGATCGGGGCCTCGCGCTGGCCAGGGGCGGGCGGTGAGGCAGCTGATTATTCGGCCCGGGAACGGAACTTCTGGTCCAGCCAGTTCTTGGTGGCTACAGCCGTTACAGTGGTTGTTTCTGATAAATTGGGGGCTTGGCTATTTCTGATGTTGAAATAAGCTGCTTGTTATCTTAAAAGGCCCTAAAAAAGACCCTGACCTTTTCAACGATTTCCGCCGGGAGGTGGGGGCGACCCGCCTTTTTTTGTACTGGAACCGGCATCAAAGGAACCCTTTCAAACCTCTCAAGAAGCCCTTTGAAACTTTTATAATCTGGGTCGTAGCGAGGTGAGAGAGTGAAACGTTTCCTGAAAAGTCGGCGTGCGGTTTCAATGTTTCTGATAGCACCAAATGTAAGTGTAATCCACCGCTCCTGTTGCCGCGTGTAAATAACCTGTTCGTGTTCTGTATAAGGAAAAAAACGACTAGTAACTTTGGCCTCCTGCCCTCCCTCCGTATGAGTGTAAAATATATCTTAAGTGGCCAAAGCATAAATGTCCAAGAATTTGCAACGAAGCCACGTGCGCAACCACGTGCTTTGCATAATTTATATATCTTTAATAAGCATTTACTTTTTGACATTTTTAGTGAAACACCCTGTAGCACTAGGTGACATGCGTCCGAAATTTTAAGGCGTGTTGCAAAATTGTTGTTACAATTACGAAATCTTCCGCACCTGCGTGCAGCAGTCTTCCCTAAAAACGTACAAACGGCAGACATCCATTATTCTATGCCACAGAATAGGGGTTTGTTGATAACCGTTGACAAATATTTGAGCATCATCGTCTTTCTGACTTTCGGTCGCCGGCCGGGGTAACTTTTTCAAACATTCTCCACCCGTGCCAACAATTGGCCTGGCGAACCTAGTAGAGTCTGGAACTCGAGCCATTCGCCATCAAATAAAGGTAACTGGAACTGGAAATACACAAATTTGACCAGTCAATTCATGTTTCACGAACACGGTGAAACGGAAAGTTTACGAACCACGAGCAGCAAGCTACACCAACGAAGATCCACGAATCATTCTGGAACAACAAAGAACCTGAAAACTTTACAAGCAAGAACATGCAATGAATCAACGGCATATACAATCAGGGTCCTGTTCGAGCAGAACAGAGTTTGATATCCCGGCTGAGCCCCCAATGTATTTTGAAAGTTGTCCCTTTGTATATGCTGCTATGCTGCATTGCTGTCTTATCGCTAGATATGTCTAGGGGATTGTGTCCTTCACTATATTAATCTATGTGTTGTCTAGGGATATTAACTACTGCACTGAAAACAAGATCGATGTATGTGTGTGTTTCCTCTTCTTCTAACACTATCCATTCCACCAGCACACAGACATGAACAAAAAGTAGATATATTGAAATGAGCCGAAAGATGAGGTCGAAACCAAAATGTCAAAAGGAAGCGATCGAGTCATTAAACGAGACAAGGCCGAAAATCAGTCCTGCACGAATAGCCGTTGCATTAGCACAGGCTGATATCGAAGAAGACGGAAGAGTGTCGAAAGAAGACCGAAAATCAGTCCCACTCGAGTTGCTATCGCACTCGAGTATGCCGATATTGTAGAGGCCGGAAGAGTGCCGAAAGAACAGCCTGCTGCCGCCAAGCCGAGCCAATCGGCTCCCTGGTCAGCGTCATGATGGCGGGCAGGCTGAAACACAAACAGCGCAGTGAGACCGGACAACGGCGGTCAACGGTCACCAAAAAAAAGGGCGAAAGAGATAACCGAATGGGTAGCCGAAAGACAAAACAAACAGTTCAACCATATACCGAATAGTTCGGCAAGTTAAACGGACTTCCTAGAAGACGTCACGTCACCTTGTCCCCACAGCACAGCTCCAAGAGAGCTGGCTGGGGCAGACCGTCCGGTCTGAGTCATTCTTACGTAGGTACTTACTTGTGCATGTTGAGTGGAGTGTTGGAGAGTGGATGTTGTTGAGTGTGGTGTGGACTGTGTGAGTGTCGCTGCTGCGTCTGGCGCCCGTTTTATACCTCTCCGACAGTCGTTTGCCCTTGGTGTGTCGTCAACCCATTTTTCACGATCTAACCCTCGCCGAGTGTTTTTTTGGTGTGGGCGAACGGTGGAGGTCAGCGAGATAGGAGCCGAGCGAGCCGCCGCCGGTTGGGCGGCCTTGGCCTCCGGGCCGACTGACGGGGCGCTTCCCGTCGCTGGAAATAATGAGTGTCGCCGATTAGCCGCTCAGAGCAGATGGAAACGATATTTCTCACATCATTATAAAATCCAAAATTTTGAGTCTATCGAAAAAACCGGAATATATGTCAGAGAAGTCGTCTATGTACACCTACATACCAAATTTTAGAAGAATCGGTTCAAAAATGTGGGAGTTATTCAAAATTTTATGACGTCACGACACACATTTTTTTTAAATGACTTTTGGAAGTTCTAGACCTCGTACGGAAACAAAAATAGCACCATTCGATTCGCCGTGAAAAACTGCATCAGATAGACACCTTTTTAGGCCTTAACAACCAACTTCAAAATTTGACCTCACTTGACCTGACCTTGACCTGACCTCGACCTGAAATTCATCCAGAGGTGGTCCATATCACTAATTGAGTGTGCCTATTGAATTCTATGAGTAAAATGACCCATAAAACATGTGTCGCACATGCCCTTTTCTATATTTTGTTTTTGATGACCTGACCTGACCTGACCTGACCTTGACCTTGACCTCTGAATGATATTGTATGCAACTAATATTGTCTTGGTAGCCTAAGAACACGTTTTTGGCGATCAGTCTCAGTCCATGACTCCATTCTTCGGCAACTACGGTGCAAGGCCGATACTGTAGAAACTTGCAATTTGTACCCTTGACCTGACCTTGACCTTGACCTCAAACTTTAAATTAAGTACATGTTTTTAGTAGTTCGTGATGAGAGCTTTCGATTGGCGTTTGAATTTTCCAAATCGGACCATTAGTTCGGGAGATAACAGGGGGGGGGGGGTGGGTAAAATTTACCCCCCCCCCCAGCCCCGCGCGTTCGGCTGGAGACCCCAGCCCCGCGCGGGTTAAGAAAGGCAACGTATGATAAAGTTATGGGCATCTGGTTACATCTTCAGATGATCGAACAGAATAATCAGGTACATGGTTTCTTGTCTAAGCTTTGTCACAAATTATGGGGGGGGGGGGCAAAAAGATACTTTTGCCCCCCCCCACGAGTTTGCCAGAGGGGGCAGCTGCCCCCCTGCCCCCCCCCCCCCCGAATCCGCCGCCCCTGGACACCGGGGAAAGAAAATACGGAAGGCCGCCTTTCTCGTAGTTCAAACATTCAAGGGGTACACCCATTGTTTTCAGTTTTGTTTCTGTGCGCTTGTGCAAAGAAGTATAGGCTTCTTTGCGTACGTTCCAACTTCGGACTCTAAATTCTGGACTGCAGGAATTCGCCGATCGGAAAGTAGGTGTCTAAAGAGCAGGTCCAACGCAACAAGATCTGACGATCTGTTTAGCGGGGCTCTGTCCTTGTGAATCGTTCCATTCAAAATGTTCTGGACAAGCTTATGTCAAAATGCATTGCATCCACAGTTCAGCAATGTTAATTGTTAAACACAATACAATATAAGCATCTTCATTACAAATGCAGTCGATGTCGACACAGGAGCACAAGCACATCTCCTTCGCTATCACGATCTATTAGCGCGAGCGGCGATCTGCAGCATCAGCTACGAAGATCGCGCTGCTGTGCCAACTC